CACACCACAAGCCGGAGGATGGCGGGTTCGATTCCCAATGTCGTTAGTTTTTCAGTTGACCTAATTCTTCCAGCCGCACTGTGGCCTCTGGGGTCGACTCAACCTCTAACAGAAATGAATACCAGGAAACTTCCTAGGGGTAAAGGGCGGCCGGCGCGTAAGGCTGACAACTCACCGCCATTTGCGAGCCGATTAGCTAGAAAATGTGGGAACCTCGATGTTACACAACCCAATTGACCTCCACGGCCTTTTACAGGGATAACTTTACTTTTTCCCCCTTATTTATAAGGAAAGATTAAATAGTATCATGTCCTTATACATGTATATATATATATATATTGTAACATGTTGCGCGACTGAGAACCCCCCTCCCCCCTCCTCTCCACGNTCACATGTAGGGGCTACTTATATGACGGGTTTTGGATTGAATGATTGAAATTATTGACTCATTATTCCCACAACTCGGGACTACAGGCAATAGAGCGCTATCACTGATCTACACACTTCACTACAGTTCACCATGCACACGCATTAGGGTTCTCAGCCTTCAGTAGTCGTATCCTGGCAACGGATTTAAAACAGTCTCACTGTCACTTCAAATCACACATGGAGTCTTCTTCTCACAGCCTAACTCCTCTCTTGCCATTCTGCAACTTCCAATTCCGAAGACTCGACTCTTCACTTCCAACTACTGTTCTATACTGCCGAACACTTCTTTATAACCTCTTAGCACGAACCGCGCAGGAAACACAGCCTCTGTTGTAAAGGAGGCGTGTTTACTGATCCGTTTACTTTCTGTCCCAAGGTTATTTAACGACGCTGTCAGTATCTAGGTCAGAGTTCCTGGCTACAGATCCTGACGTCCCGGGTTCGATTCCCGGAGCTACCAGATGTTCTGAGAAATAGTGGGTCTGGAACGGGGTCCACTCAGCCTCGTGAGGATAATTGAGGAGCTATTTCAAGGAAATAGCGGCTCCGGTCTAGAAAACAGAGATTAACGGCAGTGGGGATCCGTTGCGCTGACCACGTGACACCCTCTATCGGCTAAATTTGGCACTNGCACTAACTTCGCCGACAAGCGGCGGTCTCTCGGTCGGTATAGTTCGCTTGCGGACTATAGGCCACGGACTTTAATTTTATATGAGCAGAACATTGGCGACAAGCCGTGGCATGTTCGCTTCTTATTGGATTAGAGGCCAGGGAAGTGTACCCTCCATAGACGTTCCGAATGAAGTATAGACATCAAGACTTGACCTGACAAGGCAAAGAACAAAAACAAAGTTGGAAGTCATGGAAGTGAGAGACCAAAAACACAGAGGCTCTAGGAAATTTATGAAGTTATTCCAGGAAAGGGGGGGTAATACAATCATCCGTAGGGAAAACAAGAAAATAAGAAACCCAAAGAAATAGAAAAGGAAGCATAATTTGAGCGGGAACATTCGTCGAATTTCGGAAATAATCAGTTCACTCACTCACTCATGGAGCTGAGCCCTTCTTGTGAAGTTTGCAATTGTGCAGCTACTCAAGAACTTCCTAGCATTTCATGGAACCCGAAGGTTCATTACCGTGTTCACAAGAGCTCTTCAGTTGTCCCTATTCTGAGCTAACTTATTTCTCTAAGATCCATTTTAATATTGTCAATCCACCTACGCCTTGGTTTTCCCAGTGGTCTCTTTCCTTCTGGCTTTCCCACAAATACCCTATATAAATTCCTCTTCTCCCCATTCGTGCTACGTGCCCTGCCCACCGCATCCTCCTTGACTTGATCATTCTAATTATACTTGGAGAAGAGTACAAGTTATGAAGCTCCTCATTATGCAGTTTTCTCCAAGAAGAAATAATCAGTTAAAAGAAATAAGATTACTCCTGCGACAACAAATTGAGCATTTACTTGCATCGTTTTTGGTTTCATGGAATAGAAGAAATTCCTTTTTTAAGTTGAACTACGGGCTATAATGGAAAACATAAATTTACATTAAATTTCATGTACAACTTTTTAGTGTCATGAAATACAGTGCTCAGCAGTCCTGCTTCGTTTTCGTGAGACCCCTCCCCCCCCGCCCAGATTTTAAATCTCAGCCCGTAGACCGATTGTCATGATATTTATCGTGGTTTTCCACCAGTCACATAAGATAATGCCTTAAAACAGGTCCCAGTCGCCCTTACCAATTCATAATCGTCCGTCATCCGATGCTGTGTATCCAGTACCGTGAACATGGCGCTGTAAAATAACCGAATAAGTGAAACATGGCAACACAAAGGACAGCCTCTGTGGTCTAGTGGTTATCGTGCCTGGCTACAGAGCTACAGAACTGCAGTCTTCTGACTTACATCGTACCAGACCGAAGAATTTAGTTTTGGAAAGCCTTTGATAAATAGCGAAATATGAAATATGGGTACAGTTCATTTACGTGTGTATTGCTTCTTTGTTTTCATCCAAAACAGCTGAAGTTCAGAAACTGCCTGCCGAGTGAATGTATAATGAACATGCAACATGTACTGCCATGGGATGCTGTTTTGTACCATAGATTTGTTATGGGGCTGACTTGTGGAAAAATAGGTTTCATATTCATATCTTGGAACATCAACATTTATGTCGCCATAAGAAAATAATGACATTTCTAAGAAAGTTTAGCCCAACACCAAGATGGATGACCACCCCTTGTCGGCTGTACGCGACTGCTTATTCAGTATATTCGCAGCTACCTTCCGTATCTGGAGGGCGGCTCCTCCATCCGCAACCTGAGGACGCGCCATGCCGTGGTGACAGGGGACCCACCTAACACGGAGAGGAGAGAGGACATTCAATTCGGGCAATGCTTGCTACCGTTCAGTCCAGAACCCTTGTCTTCTCGTCTGCTGTCTAAAAACATAAAAATTATAACATACAAAACTATAATTTTGTCTGTGGTTCTGTATGGGTGTGAAACTTGGTCTCTGACATTAAGGGAGGAACATAGACTGAGGGTGTTTGAGAACAGGGTGTTGAGGAGAATATTTGGACCGAAGAGAGATGAAGTGACAGGAGGTTGGAGAAAACTGCATAATGAGGAGCTTCATAACTTGTACTCTTCTCGAAGTATAATTAGAATGATCAAGTCAAGGAGGATAGGCAGGGCACGTAGCAGGAATGAGGGAGATGGAGAATACATATAGGATATTGATGGGAAAGCCAGAAGGAAAGAGACCATTTGGCAGAGCAAGACGTAAATGGGTGGACAATGTTAAAATGAATCTGAGAGAGATGGTATGGACTGGATTGATCTGGCTCAGAATAGGGGCCAGTGGAGGGCTCTTGTGAACACGGTAATGAACCTTCGGGTTGCATAAAATGCTGGGGAATTATTGAGCAGCTGTGTGACTGTCGGCTTCTCGAGAAGTTAGTTATACGAAACTGACAATGAGGAAGGCAGGATCAAGTAGAAAATGAATTTATTGCAACATTATGCATATATGCCTAGTGTATAAGGTCTACATAGAAGCGTAGAAGGCGTATGTTAAGTCCTTGAATTCTGTTGCCAGGTCTGTGGATGTCGGGCCGAGTAGAATATCTCATCACTGCAAACAATTTCCCCCTGCCGTCGCTGCATAAACATATACATCTACTTCCAGGGGCAAGAATGGCGGAGCTATACCTCCACTCCCCCATACCTTTTCATGACATGCTGCTTAATTATTTTAATCAAGGGATAAATTTACCTTACCTTTGTAAGTCTTCTGTTTTTGTTAATTAAGTTTCCATCTCATAAAGGTTTTGCAACCTCTAGTTTTTCTAAACGGCTAATCATCCCTACTGATCGCTTACACTGAGCTTGTATTTTGTCTCCGTCTTTCCCAGTACCTCCAGTTCTACCAGCGACCAAGGCATCTCGGGAATGCCATAGCACCGCATTCTATAGAACTTGTTCTTCCCTGCTGTGCTTCTGGTGGTCAATAGCCTTCACGTGGTCAGTGTCGGAGCGAGACAGACTACCTGCTAGCAGTACCCAAATATTCAGTGCTACTAGTGACAAAGCCTGTCATCTGGACATTATCCTGAGCCACTTCCATCCATACCACATCCTCGCACCTTATCTAAGCTCTGACGTTGGGAGCGATTGGATATTGCTTCAGATCTCTGCTCGGAGACCCGCTATCCTTAGAGCCCCTCCAGATGCTTCTCAGAATCCTATCATTCGGCGTCTATAGCCTGACCCACTGACAGCGCCGTGAAACAAACCGTAAATAAGTAAAAATAAATTCTGCGAAGAACTAATCGCCCACTTTTCATTGGTACGACACGGACCGCATAGAAAACAAAAAATATGGGAATACACATACGGAAGCACAGATGATCTCATAAGCCTCCTAGCAAAGACTAAGGGGGGCATACACGAACAGGACATATAGCAATGTGATTTCATATGCCTCCTTTTATTTCTTCAAAACAAGGAAAATTGGTTAAAATATTACCCTACAACATACGGGTAGATCTCCTAAGTAGTGCAGAAGATTTTCCAGCGTAATTCCCTCTGAACTCGCTACATCGTCATTAAATAATCTACCAGTGAATGAAAGACGGACGGGAATAATTCAGTCACTAACGTAAGCTACAGGCTGGACGACCGTGGTTTCATTCCCGGCAGAAGAAGGGATTTGTCTCTTCTCCATCACGCGCTCAACTCCAGTCTACCTGGATATCGAAGGCGCTTTCTTCGGGAGTAAAGCGGGTGGAACGTGATGCTGGCTTCTTATCTTTATCTAAAATTGTGGTCAAGAATGCATGCAGCTTAAGCACGGGGGTGACATAATCTTTGTCAGTGGATGAGCACATAAAACAGCCCGTATGCCCTTCTTTGAAGGGCTCAGTCAAGTTCACATAGACCGATTTCCCTGATTGCCCCCCCCCCCAGCATCTCCTTTTCAGTCTTCCAAATGGTCCAAGAAGTTCTCAGTTTTCAGGAGGAAATGTTGCGTTCCGGAAATTTCTCACTTCCCTTAATTAGTGAACGTCTATACAGTTCCCGGGAGCTGCAGTAGGGACTGCAGCCTCTGAGCAGAAAGTCCCCGGTTCGTTGCCCGCTGACTGCAGCTTCAGTCCTGCAGCCCTGGGCCTCCTGCAGCGGCTGCTGGAGCCGGACCCACGCTCGCGCCTGCGCAGTTTGCTCGCCCTACAAGGCATCGCCTTCTTCAAGGACTTCAGCTTTGTAGACGTCCGAGCGAAAAAGGTATGGCCTGAACTCCCAGGGCTGTCCACATCCATTTTAATATTATTTTCCCATTCCCTGTCGTCTTATATGTAGTCTAATTTATTTCCACTCAATATTTTGTGTGCATCTCTTGTTTCCATATGCCCAGCCCATAATTGTCTCCTTGATTTGGTTGTCTTAATCGTACAAGTTGACCACCCACCCTGATGTAGGTTAGTCCTCTAACCAGGAGGTACCTGGTTTGAGCCTCAGCTGGTCTGTTGGTTCTCCTTAGTGAGACTGGGTCCCCGGGATTTGTGGCCATAAATGGATGTATTGTTCTCACCTCTGATGATGATGTAATTGGTAGGGGAAACTGAAATATCTGGGGAAAGTCTGCCATAGTGCCACTCTGTCTACTGCAAATCCCACAAGGACTTCCTCAGGATTGAACCCAGACCTTCTCAATTGGAAGCGACAACATCTAACCATCTAGGATGTGGCATGCAGATTTCTGAAACACTATTATCAAATTCATCCATATCAGTGATGGAAGACATCTGTGTTTCTTGTTGTTAAATTGCCATCATAGAAAAGACCTCATCTTATAAAATTGGGTAGATTTTTGTGCAAAAACGCTTCATAGATTTGTATAATTTCAGTTTATAAATGTTACTGACGCTCATGTACAAAAGGGAACCTTTGATTTGAAATACTTGTGTGTATAAATATTTACATCTGTTCATCCAAATTAGCAGGCTAGACTCTAACACTCATGTTTTCTTCTTTGCAGTTTTCCCCTCGTCGCATCCTGGAGTCATACTTTCCAAACGGACCTTTGAATGTGGTAACTTCTGATATTGCAACACTGACGTTTCCAGACTTTGACTGCAGTGTTGTTAACCAGATTTCTCTCCAGAATGGCAAAAACTTAAACCACACAGTATAACCAAAGCCATGTTATTCATTACTGTAATGTACCAAGATAGAAACCTGTAGACCAAAGAACACACCCAAGTATACTACAACACATGTTATCTTGTCAAGAGAAGCGAAATATAAATAACGCAAGAGAACTTAAATATTTATGCTGGCTATATACTAGAAGCTAGCTCTATTTGAAGTGCTGTAAACAAAGACCTCTTCAGCATATTTTCCATGTTTTATAAAAAGTAAGTTTATGGTATCATTATGCTTCTGTGATGGATTTTCATGTAACTTTATATGGATATCATGTAACTAGTCACTACAATTTGTACTTTCTAATTTCCTGTTGGTACCAGCAATCATACAGACTTGTCAGATGAGCATACTTGTAAATGTTATATGATAATAGATCTTCAAAAAATGTGCAACTTTTGTTGAGGTAATTTTGTTTTGTAAAAAGTAAAACAGTAACATGTTGGCTATGTGAAATTCACATGTATATATAGATTTGTTGGCAGTGACTCAATGAAATTTTTATAGAGATAATAAACATATATAAAAATTATGAAATACTGTCTGTGATGGCAGTGACAGAGTTTGAGATTATGCCTGACAGATTTAATATATTCAAAATCTAAATTGGTGAGATTATGCACTGAAATGGTAGACTGCATAGAATCATATTAATTTATAGCTTTTTCTGGCCTTGTCATGTACCCACAGACTGAAATGTCTGAAGGAAAGGAAGCGCAAGCTCTTCTCAGACTTCCTTAACTAACATTATTTTTAACAGGATGTCAACATTCATCCTGTCCTTGTTACCTGTAAGCAGTATAACTTCAGTTATAGCATGTGAGGTTTGAAAAATATGAGATGGAATTCCAGCACAACATACAAGAACATAATGTCTAAGTCAAGCTGCCAGAACAAATAATAATGTTTGTTGCAGACTGGGAAATCCAAAGCGATTTGTCAGGTACATTCTAGTAACACCACCATAATTCTAGAAATGAAATAAATGTCTAGCACAGGCTGCCAAAACCAACAAAATGTGCTAGAAGTGAATATGTTATCAAAGCTGTCAGAGCCAACAGTGGATATCTGGTGCAGCCTGGGATATCAGAAGTGAGAATTCCTGGTACAGTCTACTTATACTAACACATCTCTGGAAATGAATGGCCAGTACAGACTGCCAAAATCAACACAACATACAGAAGAGAAAGTCTGGTACCATCTGGCAACAGTAGCATAACAAACTGGAACAAATGCCTGGTACAGGCTGCCAAAAACAGCACAGTGTACCAAATGTGAATGACTTTCTAGTAAGTGAGCCAGAAGTTTCCTGACTCACTACAGTCGAATGCATGTTGTATAAGTCAGATAATATATTTGTTGAGACTTCCTAAGTAGTGGATTATGTGAACTCAAGAGTGATGATATTGATGGTGTGAAGAAGACAGTCTTGTTAAGGTTACATTTTGCATTACTAAGTATGCATTCTATCTTTATAAATGGAGTAATAGCATTATAAATACTATTTTACTTATTATTTACATGAAAATAAATGCTTAAACATTATTTAATTAATAAATTGTGTACATCAGTTACGCCATTCAAGCCAGTTAGAAGTTGTATGAGATCAGATGTTCTCCTGGAAGCAATTAATAAATGTATAGTCTTCTGGAATGCGATTCTAATACACGGAGCCGTAATCAAGCCAAGGCAGTCCAGGGTGGCCCCCCGGTGCTTTTACATTACCTGGCTTTCCTCTTAAAGACATTGATGTGAAACATGAAGTTTTTGTAGTTTATTTAACTTTTGACCTCTGAGGTGGAACTGTCAACCTCTTTAATTGTGTGCATTTTGTGAGGTATCTCTTGTTTATTTCCACATTTGAAACTGTGAAGCTGTCATTAATAAAAATGAAAGTGGCCTTATGTCATGATTTCTTTCAACCTAGAGCAATGTGTTGATCTGCCCTGGCACTTACATCTTTAGGACTACACCCCTGGTAATATGATAGACAGATGCCAACATTCTGGAGGAATGTGCTGCCTCATTCTTCAGGGTCAAAGTCATTTTGACAGGCAGTATGCTTCTCCAGACCATTGGTACCTACGTATCATACTCTCCTGCATCACACCCCAGAAGACCTTCATCTGAAATTAGACGTAATTAATACTTCTGTTCAGTAATTCATACTTGTTCACATGTAGTTACCACAAGTAATTTACGTTGGCTTCTGTTTAATGTTTATGTGTCTATTATGGTGATAAGGATGGAACCGCAAGTGTGTTCAGTTTTACTGTTACACCTCATGTATATAATATTCAAAATCATTCAAAGGCTGAACTGAAAATCCCTTGCAACAGAATATGAATTGTGTTAATAATGTTGGCAAACTCATATCCCAGCACTACAACATTTTTCAAAATCATGCTTTGCCCAGAGCCCACCACTGCCTTGGGGCAGCCATGAAAACTCCTCCTATGTAGATGTGAATTATTCCATTTCTCCCCATTTTTTTATTCTCTTATGGATAAACATTTATTAATGGTTATTTTCTTTCCTATTTTTATTTTCAAACTAAATTCTATTCTGATCATGAATTAATATTGTTTGCTTGTTCTTATTCTTTTCCAGTTTTTATAGAATTTATCAACTATGACTTTTTTCACTTAAAATGTTATATGCAGCTATCATATTGTTATACTTCTGCATTCNTGCTTGATATAATGATGCTGGTATTCTCTGGCCAGTTCTGTTATTTACTTGTACTTCCATTACCAAACCATACCTTAATATGTATACTATTTCAGGCTGTACAAGTTTTGACACACCTGCTACAGCCTTAGCAACAAACTTGCTCCATTACCATTCCTTATTACGTCCTCTAAATCACTGGTATGGTCCCATGTTGTATGATTTGCCAACATGTGTTCTCTGCTACCTTTCCTTTTAATTTCTACATTATATTTGTTTTGTTCTTTGCCAACATAAAGCAAATGTCCATGCTGACAAAATGTTTAAAAAAATTGCCTCCCTCCCCTCAGTCAGCTAGCATTCCTGAATTTATGGACACAAATGTTTCATTATTATATTTAAGCATCCTGTTGCACTCTACACGATAAATGATACAAACTCCGTCCCAAGTGCAAACAATATATATTATATGTCTTTGATCTTGCTCTCTTCTACACTACATGTTTCGGCCTCTAACGGCCATCATCAGGTGTATACTCTTACGTTGCTGCCACACTGAACCCAGTCTAAAATTTAACATTTAAAAAACACATTGTTATTTTCTTCGTTATTATCAACATCTACCTCGTTGATATCTGTCTGGTATGTAGATTAATTTGCACACGTCAATTTTGATTTTGATTTTATAGTGCTACTACAGGAAAATCAAAATTGACGAGTGCAAAATAATCTACATACCAGACAGATATCAACGAGGTAGATGTTGATAATAACGAAGAAAATAACAATGTGTTTTTTAAATGTTAAATTTTAGACTGGGTTCAGTGTGGCAGCAACGTAAGAGTATACACCTGATGATGGCTGTTAGAGGCCGAAACATGTAGCGTAGAAGAGAGCAAGATCAAAGACGTATAATATATATTGTTTGCACTTGGGACGGAGTTTGTATCATTTATCATAACAAATGTTTCAATTTCTATAAGTGGACATAATTTGCTTTCACCTGAGGTGGTGCCTCATATTAGTCAGAGGTTAATTCCATGTGTATTCAAAATTACTGAGTTTTTGGACTTTGTCCATTGTCCAGTATTCTGAAAACTATTGAACGCAATGTTTTGGAAACTGGATCTGTTTCCATCCTCACCTGAGGGGAAGACACCTACACTGTTGGGTCTCTTAGAGTTAACTCAATCACTGGACAACCCATATCAGTATAACTGCACCTACGTAGAAATCTGAGACCAGACTGTGTTGAAGTGAGATAACAAGAAAATATGCAATAAAAATTATGATAAAACATGCATCAACCTGCAACTAAGATAGGAAGGGAGATGAACATTTTTTGCAACAAACCAAGTCCAAGTAAACCAATGCATAGGATTAAATGGAGAACTTGTAAAACCATTTTGTGTCTACCACTAGTGCCATTTATGAAGTAAAAACTGAACACTCAGGACTTAAACCTTATAGAAATCCATAAAGAAACTGTCACATGATATTAATCTTCTCTCTGAGTTAATAACATAATTGCTGATAAGGTTGATCCAGATGGGAGAAATATCCAAATTGGGATGGCCGATCAGAGTGGTTAAGCATGCCATATGGACCAATTCATCATATTTCTTATACCTGCTGTTACTTTCAACATACAGAATACAGTAATTCTGAGTGTAATACACCATCATCAGAACCCTGTAGAATATACAATCAAGAATTAGTTTCACTGATCTTGATTTCATTCGTGTACATCGTGTGTATTATCAAAGTTACTTTTGTAAATGGCCAGCTACACATATTTTGTTACAGTCACTAGCAGATATGTTTAGGCTTGTCATCCATCTTCAGTGCCACTTAGGTTAACCACCGCCAATTGTATGGTTTGTAACATCCTGTACCCTTCCTCAGATGACGCTTATTTCTTATTTAGTTTGAATTCAAAATGTGTGTTATTTTGATTAGTATGTTGTTCATTTATGGCTAATCCTATTGTAGTACATTTATAGTTCCAACATATCCATGTATCTTCACTTTGGTATAACTTTCAAGATATCCATAGTGTCTCGATTTTTCCATCTTTATGTTGTGTCCAGGATTAATGCTTTGCACATTTTGAGTTGTCCTTATTATCTCTAATGTTATGGATATGTTCTTTGTACCCTGCTTTGAAAATTGTTTTTTTGTCCTTTATATTCCATCTGTTTGTATTTGTCATCCACTTTCTGTTTTACAGCTGAATTTTTCTTTATGGTGTTGCTTACTGTGTATATGGTTTTATGTTGGTGTTCCTGAATGTCTTTATTATTGTCCTGATCAGGCTTCAAAAATATGTGAACCTTGACCAAATTGGTCAGCAAGAAAAAACCACTGCTCATTTATAAGTAGTAACCAAGAATTAATTAACAGTAGTTTCGGTTGGGGTTAATATAAGACAGTATAGCAAAGAATATGTAAATAATAACATGCATCTTATGCTATCACTAATAGCTCAGTGAGTATAGCAATGGGCTGTGGGCTTGGAAGGTTTGACTCCCAGCAGGGCAGGAGATTTCTTTGTACTCCCCAGCGTCCGGACTGGCTCTGGGGCCCATCCAATCTCCTATCCACTGGGTACCGAGAGCTCTTTTCCCGGGAGTAAAGCGGCCAGGGCGTGGAGCGGGTCACTCACCTCCATCTAGTGGTGAGGTAGAAAATGGTGGACCTATACCTCCACTTTTCTATACATCTTCATGGTGTCATGTGTAATTCATGAAGTACAGTGACAACTTTACATTTTTACCTTTTATAAATAGACACAGTGTTTTAAACGTTTGAACTTGATTGGTTTGAATGCTTACAGACAAAACAGGAGAAATCTAATCCACATGCAAGGGCAAACACAGAACTGAAATATATTTTTATGAGAACTGTTGTCTAATCATATTCAGAATCTTGTATCTGAAATGTTGTACAGTCACTGTATTAGAACTGATGAAGATAGGGAATGAAAAAAAAAAAAAAAAAATGGGTTCTGTATAACATTCAGTAGTTTGACCTCCATACTGAGTGACTTGAAAACTGATTGCTTCATTCAAAAAGTGTTACACCATTCAGTGAAGTTGTTTTTTTTTTTCATTTTGTAAAGCAGCCTGAAAAGCAGAGCTTTTTACCTAGAAGGAAAGGTGACACATTGTACACAGTATGACAATGCGAGGGGCAGTACTTTTGAAGTAATGTGGAGAAAAAGCAAAGCTTTAGATTATCAAAAAAACATTCTTGAATTCCATGTGTGAAAGGCACCAGCATTGCTCTACCTTCATGTTTCCTGATTTTTGGTATTTTTTTTGTTTTTATTATATTTCTGTTGTGTGAAGAAAAGTATTGGTATGACATTCCACTGTGTACTGTCCCATATAAAAGTAATTTATTGTAGACTTTCTTTCCCCTTACCTTTTTTGTTAAACACTGGTGCATACATTAGACACATATTTTG